GGTACTGATCACTGAGCAGCTTGCAGGTTACATGCAAAGTGCTCAGTTGCTCAGTAGTGCCAAGACATACTGATCACTGAGCAGGTCACGTGACTGCGGCACGGCTGCGAAGGATTGCGGCGTAGTGCATCCTTCGGATCCTCGAAACTGATCACTAGTGAGCAGTTTCCTCTTGTTACTAGTCACGGATCGTAACACCATTCCTCCTCTTCATTGGTTCGTCCTCGAACCTAGGTCCTAGGGTGTGTGGTGGCGTCTTGGTGTTGTTGGTCATGTGGGGTCGCGTGGCACGCTATAACTAAGCGGTCCCTTCGTCATAAGCGTCAGCGTCTTGCCTTGTTTTTCGTCATGCCCAAACAACCATCTTTGTCGAGTACCGTCCGTCGTTAGAACCTTGCTAATTTTATCGAATCCTTTGGGGAAACTATGGTGCAGAAGTGTTCGTCGTGTGTAAAGAATAACTAAGTGTGCAAGGTGCATATTCGTTCTAGAAAATGTAGCGAATATCTTCGTCGTGGACAACGGTGTAATGTCCGTGTCACTGAGTCCGAGTTCAAGCGTCTGGCTGCTGAGAAGGAGAAGTTGGAGGGTCGTATTAAAGAGAGTCGCGATGCGCAAGATGCGGCTATGAGGCTTCATGAGAAGGCTCTAGAAGAGTTGCGCACTTATCGTGCTCGGGAGCAGAGGTTGCGGCTATAAATGGATTTGTTGGAGAGGCGTGCTGAGGAGGCGATTGCTGTGGAAAGTCGAGAGCTGGAAGAGTTAGAGCGGGAAGGCGTGTTGGAGTTCGACGAGTCCGACCCGTCGATCAACTTGTCTCCTGGTACTTGGGGTGCCTTCGCGGATTTGCCTCTGGATTACTGGGAGCCTCTTGATTCGAGCTTGGTTGTTTCTGGCTCAGGTGGTAATGCGCCCGTCTCCGGTGGTTGAGGTGCGTAGTATGATTTTCTTCGGTATATATTGTGTTTTATTCGTTGTTTTGTCATCTCGACCGTTTGCTCTAGTCTTCAGGGCGAGCGGTCGAGGTCCTATTCTCTCCTTTTTGTAGTTGGTTCGAATCCTACTGTCGTTGTTGGTATTTTTGGAGTTTTTGTTTGCAGTTGGATAGGTTGGATTCTGGTTCCCATGTGTTCTCGCTGTCGGGGTATCCTAACCATTTGACTAGGTATTCGGTTTTGTTGCTTTTTGTTCGGTGTGAGACGATTCTTTCAACTTCGAATTCGTCTTCCTCTTCGGGTTCGAAATGAAATGTTTTTTGTAGTGGCGTTTTGGGGTCTGCTGGTTCCATTAGGCGTACATGGAATCTTGGGTGTATCTTCGCGTCGGCTGGCAGGTCGAGTGTATATGTAACTAGTCCGTTTTGTTTCGAAATTAAAAATGGTCCGACTTTGACGTTGTCCAGTCCCTTGCTGGTTCGTTTTGTGCGAAGGTTTTTTGTTAGTAGATATACTTTATCCCCCTTTTTTAGCTAAGGTGCCATTTTTCTTTTCTTGTTCTAATAGGAAATGCTTTGGCGTTGAGCTTGTTCAAGTGATTCTCGTAGTTCTTCGTGGATTTTCTTAAGTTGTTCGGCTGTTGCGATGGCTGCTTCTGTCTTCAAACTTGGATATGTTCTAGTAAAGAGATTTGGATGTCGTCCGTGGTTGGCGTAAAACGGTGTTTTGCCTGTTGCTTCTAATGTTTTGTTGTTGTATGCCATCTGTGCCATAGGTAGTAGTTGTACCCAATTGTCTTGCTAATAATTAACGTAAATCCTAAGATATGTCTTCATTGTTCGATTTGTTCGTTCCGTTTGTCCGTCGGTTTGCGGATGGTAAGCTGTCGATAGCTTTCTCTTAGTTCCAATTGCTGCGAGTAGTGTCGTCCAAAAGTTGGATGTGAATAGCTTGTCTCTATCGCTGATGATTGACTTCGGTATTCCGTGGTGTCGGATGATTCTGTCGTGGATAATGTGTGCCAAGTCCACTGCTGTGTAGTCGTTCCTGAATGGGATATACTCTGCTTGTTTTGTGAAGCGATCCACTACAACAAGTATCGCGTTGTAGGTAACCTTGGTCGTTGGATCCTTTAATGCTGGTAATCCTGTAACGAAGTCCATGGAGATGTCTGCCCACGGTTCTTGTGGTAGCTCTAAAGCTTGCATTTCTCTGTATGGTGCATGCGTGCTATGCTTGTTCTTTTGGCATTCTGCGCATTTGGCGATGTATGCTGTGACTTTGTCTTTCATTCCTTTGAATTAGTAGTTGCGCTGAATCAGTTCTATAGTCCTGGCGATTCCCGGATGTCCGTGTACGGGATTATTGTGGTGTTCTTCGATAATGGTGTTTTGTACTTCTTCGGGTACGTCGTTTCTAATTTTCATGATAGTGTTGAGTTCGTATGCGGGTCCTAGTGTCCCGTCTTCATTAATCTTGAGTATAGGTCTGTCGATTATCGTTTTGGTCCCTGCGATGTCGTGTCGTCGGCTAAGAGCGTTAGCTCTTCCGTTTTCTTTTCCTGGTGTATAGACGATCTTGAACTTGTATCGTCCTAGTTGTTCGGCCCATCTAGTCTGTCTTCTGTTGAGTATCTTCGTCGTTGTGAAGCGTACCAGATTTTTGTGGTCCGTGTAGACTGTGAGTTCCGAGCAGCTTTCTGCGTATACTCTCCAGTGTCGTAGACATGCTACAATAGCTAGTAATTCCTTGTCGTGTGCATCGTATCGTTCTTCTGGTCCTGAGAACTTCCTTGAGTAGTATGCTACTGGGTGCCATTTGTCGTTGATAAGTATGCTGGCACAGCCTCCTAGGGCTAGGTTTGATGCGTCTGTTTCAATCTTCATTGGTACGCCTGGTGTAAATATTTTGAGGCATGGTAGTGTAACACATGCTGTCTTGAGCTTGTTGAAGGCTTCGTCTGCTTCCTTGCTCCACACGAATGGCGTATCTTTCCGCGTAAGTCGTGTCATTAGTATCGCGATCTTCGAGAAGTCCTGAATGAATTGCCTGTTGAAGTTTACGAATCCTAAGAATAATTGGATTTCCGTAACTGTGGTTGGTGTCGGCTAGTCTTTAATGACTTGAATCTTCTCTTCGCTCATCTGTACTCCGTTAACTCCTACTGTGTAGCCTAAGAAGTCGACCTTAGTCTTGTGGAATTCACACTTCTTTAGCTTAAGTCTAAGGTTGTGTTCGTCCAGAGCCTTGAGTACTTTCATCACATGTTCGATGTGATCCTTCTCATCTTCCGAATAGATGAGGATATCGTCCAGGTAGGCGATGACAAATATGTCGAGGTATGGCCTAAGTACATTGTTGATAAGTTCCTGGAATGTCGCTGGGGCGTTCGTAAGCCCGAATGGCATAACCGTATACTCGTAATGTCCGTATCGAGTTCGGAATGCTGTTTTCCATTCTTCACCTTTCTTCATTCTAATAAGGTGGTATCCATCTCAGAGATCTAGCGCCGTGAAGATCTTCGCACGAGATAATCGATCCCTGAGCTCGGTGATGTTAGGTAGTGGGTATCGATTCTTTACTGTGATGTCGTTGAGTCGCCTGTAATCGACACATAGTCGATCCGTACCGTCTTTCTTTGGTACGAACATAGTTGGATATCCTGCTAGTGACTTTGATGGTCGTATGTATCCCTTGGCTAGACTCTTGTCGATGTACTCTCTCAGTACCTTGAGCTCTCTTTCCGATAGTTGATATATAGGCCCGAAAGTCGGTGTCTTTCCTTCCTGTAGGACTATCTCATGGTCCCAGGGTTTATGTTCTGGTAACGCGGTTTCATCTACCACTTCCTGAAATAGATGTTCGTATTTCTTATACGGTTCAGGGAACTCTAGAGTTGCGCTATTCTCCCTTCCTCTCGCTTCGTGATCCGTTGGCCTGGTTTCGGTATCTGCGGAGTGTGGCTTCCTATCCTGGGAACTACCTTTCGAGTACGCTCTCTTCTCGGCGTTATTGCACTGCATGGCAATGTTACTCTCATCTACCATCGAACTCTGCCGATGCGTAGGCTGGCTTGCGGGTGCGTCCATTCCGCAGCACTCAAATTAAAACACCTTCGACTTCCAGTCGATCCGCGGGTTGTGTTTCCTAAGCCATGGGAGTCCTAAAATGATGTCGTGGGTAGCTAGTCCGATGACGTCTAGGTCAATCTCCTCCACATGCTCCTGGATGCTGAGTGTCACTTGTCTGACCTCGTGTGTGATTTCGCTTTCGTTTGGCATTGGTTCGCCATTGGCTACGTGTAGTGGGTAAGGCTGTTGTTTCCGTTGTACCTCGAGTCCGGCTCGGGCTACTACGTGCGCTGAAACATAGTTTGCCTGTGATCCTGAATCCACTAGTGCCTGCATCCGTGTTCCGTTAAGCTTCGTCTGGAGCTTTATCAATCCTAGGGGTTCTAGTACGTTGATTTCCCTAGAGGGGCCTTTTTGCCCTGTCGTTGGCCTAAAAAAGACTCTTGTTGTCGATATCCGTAGTAGTCTTTTGCCACTGCGTGCTTGTCGCAATCCGCGCTTAAGCACGTGTACCATTGGTCTTCCCTGCATTCTATCGAGGGGCCATCTAGGTACTGCACTTCGTATGCTGTCTGCATCTGTATAACGTCCTAGGGGTCTTCTCGTCCTAGAAAGTGCATTCTTTCTCGTTTGTCCCATAAGTGTTTGGGGCAGCTGTCGTTCTTGCATTCGTACCATAGCCATTTGCACTTGGGCATGCCCTTGGCGTGCTGTGGGCTCTATCCAGCTCCTCTCTTGTCCGAGTAGTGAGTTGGGCAGTAGTCATGCGTACACGCGGTCCATGATAGGCTGGCGTGATTCTTGTTTCTTGCGTCGTACCAGTACCATACGGGTTCCGTAGGGTTGTCCCGTGCTTGGTTTCGCTTGGCTTGTTGTGCCCATTGTGGTGTAAGGCCTTCCCTTAGCTGATCGATGTTGCTGTTGATGTACTCGTATGTGGGTAGTCGCTGTGTTGTCTGGACTTGGTAGAAGTCGATGTCCGATCGTAGGTGCCACAGTTGTTGGTACAAGTTGAGCAACGTTTCGTTGTTGTCATCTTCAGTGGTGTAGGGTTTATCGGGGTGTCCTAGTAGTGTGGATAGGGCGTTGATCCATTTGGTTACTTCTGCTAGGATTTCTTGACGTTGGGTCTTAGGTGATTCTGGTATCGCGCTGTCTTGCCTCTTTACGTAGGGCGTGGATGGCCTGTTTTTGTCCTGAAATTGTGCCATCTTTTCGTACTTGGACGCGAGGGGTCGTTCCTCCTCATCTGGCGTCTCATATTCCTTATCGCTAACTGGCTCAGCTTCGGATGTATCCTCAGACGTGGTCAGGGTTAGGTCCTCTAATCCACTGATGACTTCTGCGTCGTCTGGGTGATACTTGATCTCTGGTCGGGTGATGACGTTCCATGATTCGTCGTCGTCTAACTCCGACTTCCTGCGTAGGACGTTGAGCTGTCGCTTGACCTTGTTCTTGCTCATACAGTTGCGCGCTATGTGGCCTTCCTTGCCGCATGCGTAGCAGTTAATCTTTCTCTTGTCGTCCTTGTCTTTCTTGTAGTGAGGCTTGCTAGGTCCTTTTCCTTGGTTAATGTTGTCGAGGTGCATGGGTTCATACCCATTAGTTGCATATGCACCGGGTGTCCTAGGCTGATAGCTCCTCTGTCGTCCCTGGTTGGGCTGTGAACGTCGGTGGTGTTGTTGTCGAGGCCGATCGTTCCTATTGTCGTTGTTGCGCGTTCCCTGATTAAACAGTCGTTCTTCTAATGCGAGCTCGTAAAGCTTATTGTCGAGTTAAATAGCCTCTGCTATAAGTTCGTCGAGGTTGGTAACGTTGGCTCCACTTCTTATGAGTTCTCTGCGCACCATTGGCTTGAGGCCTTGTCGGTACATGCGCATGAGAGCGTTGTCGTCCCATTCAATGTTCGTAGCGTACTGCTGGAATTGGGTCGTGTAATCGGCTGCAGACCTGGTTTAGCGTAGGGTCTGAATTTTTTGTTTAGCGATTAGGGATTCTTTAAAAGGCGAGAAGTTTTGTCGCATTCTAGTCTTGAAAGCATGCCAGTCTTCAACTAGGGTAGTGTTGTCGGCGTCGGTGATGGAGTCATCCATGTAACGTTTGATGATCGGGTTGGCCCATTTTTCTGCGTCACCTCGAAGGTACGTGGTGGCCAAGACAACCTTGTCGTTGTCTTCGATTTTGTCTCCGGCTAGGTGGAAGTAACGGTCGACCTGGAGGAGCCAAGCTTCGAGCTTGTTGCGGTCGCCATAGTAAAGATCAGGCTTGTAGGCATTGACTGTAGTTCCTCCGGTCTGGGAAGCGGTTGGGGTGTCCATTGCAATGTCGCTCATCGTGAGGGTGTTCAAAGTGTTAAGAGTATAGATCAAGTGGAAGTAATATAAGACTTCTAGTATTGATCTTCTTGTTAGTTGGTTTTCGCAGATAGAGTGACAGGGTGCAAACGAGGACAGTAACGTGCAAGTAGAATAACTCTCTGTATTGTACTTGTACTCAAAACTTAAGTTGAACACATCAAGCCATAAGGGCTCAATGCCTAGTGCTATATACTAAAGCTTCATGCAATATGCTCAGTTGCTCAGTACTGCCAAGAGGTACTGATCACTGAGCAGCTTGCAGGTTACATGCAAAGTGCTCAGTTGCTCAGTAGTGCCAAGACATACTGATCACTGAGCAGGTCACGTGACTGCGGCACGGCTGCGAAGGATTGCGGCGTAGTGCATCCTTCGGATCCTCGAAACTGATCACTAGTGAGCAGTTTCCTCTTGTTACTAGTCACGGATCGTAACATTTACTTAGGTTAAAGACTGCTTCTAATAATCTAGGCTAAGAATAGCAAATTAGATGTATAAAGGCAACAAAGAAACTAGAGGAGATAGGTATACGCCCTAGCCTTTACTAGGTACTAGGCCACCAAGATATCCCTAGAAACAAAAAAGCAGACGCCCTAGCTAAAGAAGCTATAAAGCTAGACCCTCCTTCTACTAGGAAAACTAGCCTAGCTATTACTAGCTCGCAAATTAAGCAGCTAGGAGAGAGAGAATAGCTAAGCTAACTTAAATAGTATAGGAAAAAAGCTACTAGCAAGAATCCACATATGTACGCAGCAAAATACAAGTAGAAGATAAGAAAGCAAATCGCTATTCCTAGCAATACTAGAAGAGAGATTTCTAGCGCTTTCTACTAACTTAAACTAGGGCACTGTTACCTAAGGGACTACCTATATAAGAGAGGGAAAGTGGATTCTAATAGTTGCCCCTACAACTATAGGTCTATACAAGACCTACCTTATATTCTATTTAGATGTAATCTATATAGAGAGGAAAGGAAAGGACTAAGAGAAGCCTGCGAAGGCAATCTATCACTACCTATCCTCCTTTAAACAAAAGAGGGTATAGAAGCAACTATTACCTTTATTCAAGAAATAAAGGCTGGAACACAAGCCTGGTACAAAGGAAACACAGAAAACGAGGAGTAATACCTGTAACAGGTAGCCATACACCTCCCCTACCCTATCCCCCCCCTACCTACCAACCAATAGGCTACGAGCCTCACCTTTATCTAGTTAAAACCCCTCCTAAATATCGTAGCTAGAAACAACCTACTTAGATACTTGTAGGCCTAAAAACCCTACACGTCTTATATAGCCCTTCGGGCTGAAAAAGGACGTTAAACTAGAATAATAATAATAATGTTGAGGGCGTTTCCTGCTCTCGTTCACTGGGTGACGGCTCAACTCACTGATTCACTCACCCAGCTAGTCAGCAATCCGGTCATCCGGCACGAGTAGTACCAGCAGTGGGCGTCGCTCGCATAAGCATGTATGTATGTATGTATGTATGTATGTATGTATATATGTATGTATGTATGTATATATGTATGTATGTATGTATAGATATATATATATCCCCACGTATATAAACGCGAAAAAAAAACACACAGACAAGTATCACGCAATCTAGACACTATGTAGTCAGCGAGTTTTTATCTAAAGAACAAATCAATCAACCAATCAATCAATTAGATGCATTCATTTCATGGAAGCAGTACATCAGGTGACTGCAATGCAAAATGCAAAGAATACATCTAACATGATACAAGTAAGATACGTCATGTGATATAATGACACAAAATAGAAAATGCTTAATGGATGGATGCATGCATGCATGCATGGATAGCCGGCAAAAAACCAGCGCGAGCCAAATGCAAATGTAAATGGTCGATAGTTACTCATGAGCCAATGGCAGTGTGCTAAGCTAGCACGAGCCATGCCATGTCATGTATAGTCTTTTTTTTAGTTATTCCTTTTTTTTCGTGTGTTTCGTCTTTTTTGCGTGGCGATTAGTTACATACCTAACTATGTAACTACTCAAGTAAGAAATCTAGAATTTCTTCTTTTCTTCCTTCTTTTTTTTCTTTCTTTCTTGAGCTATATTTTCTCTTCTCAAACTAGATTCTTTCTTTCTTTTTTTTTCATTGTCTTTTTTACAGATTGTTGTTGGGCTGGGCTGGGCTGGGCTGGAGATGGACTGGGGGGGGGAATACTTGTGGATGTATCTTTGTTTCTTTGTTTGTTTGTTTCTTTTTTACAAGTATCCAAATAATTGAAAAAGGAAAAAAAGGAAAAAAGAGAAAGAAATAAGCATCATGGATGATGATTTGGCACGCCGCAGATGCACGCCACAGACGCAGACGCAGACGCAGAGTGGCTGTGGCTGTGGCTGTGCATGTGCAGCAGTGCAGAACAAGTGCATGTGCTTTGCTTACCCCGTGCAGCGGAAAATGTTAGCTTGCGCCTCGGTAAGTTTTCTGTTTTTTTTTTCTCCTGGGGTTGTTAAACGGTAAGTAGAGGGTGAACGGTGACGAAGAAGAAGCGGGTATGTGTGCTTCGGCTGTACCTACATACATACATGTAGACTGGGGGGTCTCTTCTTTTCTTTATTGTTATTTTTATTTTTTATTTTTCGCGAGTACATGGTTTCCTTGGTCTTTCTAATTATTCTTTTACCAGTCGTTTTTGTAACGGGTTGGTGTTGTGGCCGCGGATAAGTAAGCTTTGGTTTGGCTTGTTTGGTTGCGCCGGCTAGGCTTGCAAAGGCTTGGGTTCCAGAAGCAAGGCAACAGAAACTAAGTCTAGACATTGCTTACGTGGTATCGTGTGGTGTGGTGTGGTGTGGTGTCAGTCAGTCCGTCATTCAGTCATTCAGACCGTCAGTCCCCCATGTTCGTTTGTCAGGCGACCATTTTTTTTTTCTCTCACTGCCCCTCTTCTTTCCTTTGTGGTTTTTTTTGGTTTGCTGTCAGCAAGGAAAGAGATGGTGAGAATAAAGAATAGAGTGTGTTGATGCTGAGACTGGATATCCGGTTTCGGAAATAGACAGACGGTAAGTAGGCAGGTGACCAAGATTGATTTTCTTTCCTGCACGTATGGCAGTCTGACTGTCAGTCTGTCTGGGCAGAAGGAAAGACGCAGGTCTGGATGATTTTCAGGGCTGACACACCACACACACCACACACACATGGCTAGCAGCAACGTGGGACGGCGGCAAACAACATAGCATACCCATAGCCATAGCTGCAAGCACGGCTACTTGACTTAGTCGAGTTAAATGCACAGCCAGCCAGATGCCTCTGGTCGGCACGACCTGCCCAAAGCAAGCGGGTCACCCCTCGCCGCCCCAAGCGAACGGTTCGTCGATGCAGTAGAGTAAACTAACAAAGGTATATTACCACGGGAACGGAGCGCGAAAAGAAAGGAAAGGAGAGCAGCAGGAGCGGGACCGTGGGCGGGGCTGGATCCCGTGGTTGCAGGCAAGGCAGGCATCAAGGCTAGATAGATGGATGGATAGATATGTAGGGTGCATGCACGTCGCTGGGTTACCCGTCTTTCCATGTTTGCATGTGCCAAGGGGTTGGGGGTTGAGGGTTGAGGGGCTGTGTGCGGCATTTGCAAGTGGTTGGATGGGCAGGCGGACATGGGGGAGAGGGGTAAGTATGTACATGTATGTAGGTAGCGAAATGCGGTGTGCATGTATCCATCGACTGAATCCATCTGGCTATGCATGTCGAGGTGCATGTCGAGGTGCATAGTCCCAGAGGCCGTCTTGGATGCGGGGCAGCAAAAAAAAGGGCCAAGGTACGCGGACAGGGAGACTTGGAGAGATGCACATGTCGTACTAATTACTTACTGCTGTTGGTGGGCAGAATAGCGTTGCGGCATGCGGCTTGGCGCGGGGCTTCGGGGCGCGCGTACGGGACTTGGTTTGGCTGTTGTTGATCATCTAGCAGACTTACTTACATACTTACATACTTACATACATTGGCTGCTTGTCTATATTCGCGCCGACGGCGACAGGCTCCAGGTTGGGACATTGCTGGGGCAAAACATGGGCGTGCCAAGGGGGGGGCAAATAAGGTGTCAGATGTTTGCAACTGGACTTGGTTCGAGGTGCGTGTTTCATTGCTGCCATGGGCGGCGACGGACGGGAAGCACACCCCGCTCGAGAGAGAGAAAGAGAGAGAGGGAGAAAAAAAATTAACGTCAGGCAGTGGGTTAGTCAGTTCCGTCTGCGGTGATGACCAAGCAATTTCTCGATCGACGAGGAGGCGACATGATGGACAGCAGGCTGTAGTGTTGGAGGAGTGTGACGGCGACGGTGACGGCGAGCACGTCATGGACAAGACTGGCACTGCATCATCATCAAGGCCGCTGCCGCTGCCGCTGCCGCCGCCGCCGCCGACTATTCGTAATTGGCACCCTTTGCGGCTTACCCCGGGTCAGGGTGGTGTTGTTGCTGGGGGACAAACTAGAGAGGTGGATGCATCGCTCGTGGCCAGCACCGCCGTCGTGGTGGTTAGCATCGACACAAGGCACAAGGGGCGGGAAGCGCGGTGGCGTCACTGTGCTTGGAGGGAGAAGCATCTCATATGCCTAATCCGGCACCCGGCGGTTGGCTGTTTCGGCGTGCTTGTGAGTGAGTGAGTGTGTGTCTCCAGTCTCTGCGTCTGTCTGTCCAGTCTGTCTCGCGCGCCCGCTGTTTGGCCCCGTCTTTACGCTCGTGTACGCGACCCATGAGGGCACGCAGAGTTTGAGGTGGCCAATCTCTCGCATGCGCATGTCACCGAGCACCCGCCCTCGTCGCAGTCCTCAGCGTGTGTGCCGTGGGCGGGCAGAGCATGGCCGACTCGACCGACTGGACCGACTGGACCGACTCGACTCGACTGGCAGGGCCCATGGCTCCCCAGGCCCGCATTCGGAGGCGCGTCAGATTCGCAGCGGTCAACTGGCATCTCGCAACGACTGGACTGGCGTACATAATAAACATGTCGAAAATCCCGCAAGCCAGGCCTCATCCAGAAAGCTGTACACGAGGGGCCGCCCAGGGCAGTGCACTATCGACCATGGATGACCCCTCGCACACGAGAAGGAATATTTGATGCCCCAGCCCAGGCCTGCTGCCACACGCCGCTTTCTTCTTCTTCTTCTTCTTCTTCTTCTTCTTCTTCTTGTACTGCTGCTCAACCGCGACTTGGTGCTTTAATTTTTTTTTTTCGTTTTTCCTTTTCTTTTTGGCCCCGGCTGCGGAACCGTCGGCCTCGCCCACTCGCGACATCACACACGCACATCTGCCGCTGACCCGCAAGCCTGCTTGGCGCCACCTGCACAGCCACTTCTGCTGTGGCACTGGCACCCGCCTGCCGTGAGTGCGCAAGCAATTTCAAGACGCCAACGCCCTTCTCACCAACCCACCCATCAGTCCCACGCCCGCCCCGAGGAAAAATAAAATAAAAAAAGACGCCTGCGGCCACGACAACAACATCAACACGCACCAGCGCCCGCTACCCCGCCCTGCACCCAGCACCCGTCTGCGCGCCCTGCCGACTGTCGGGCCTTAGTCATCGTGTTTTTGCTGCTTCAGGCCCCTCACGCGCGCCTCCCGAACCTTGTCTCCACCCCCCATTGTCGACGCAGATACGCCGTTTTGACCGCCGTGCAATAGCACATCCTGGGCTTCTTGCCCGCGAGACACCTGCGTCTCCAAACAAACACACTCTCCCGCACACTGCTCCGAGCCCGTCCGCCACCCAGCCCAGCCCAACTCGTCGCCCGCCGCCGCCGCCGCTGCCGTCCCCGCGCATCCTCTCACCATCCACAAACGACACACACCATGGCGGCCCCGACCACGAGCACCCGCTCCAGCACCATGGCCAAGTCGGCCGGCTCGCCCTCGGCTTCGGCCTCGACCGTCTCGTCGCTGCACTCGCAGCCAGACACCAGTCTGGCCCTCCCCCAGCCCGCCGCCCCCGTCACACCCGTCACGCCCACCGCTCCCGTCCACAGCCACTCGGGCGCCAGCAGCGTGCAGGCCGCCGCCGAGGCGCTGCTCAAGCCCAAGAAGCCCACAATGACGTCGCGCCTCAGCAGCATGATGGGCATCAAGTCGTCGGCCAACGGCGACAAGAACGGCGACGTCAAGGCCACCACCAACGGCGCAACCGCCAACGGCCGCTCCCCGCCGGCGCGCCAGACGTCGGTCAACAAGCGAGAGGGCCCCTCGGCCCCCTACAAGCGCTTCTGGACAAACGAAGACGGCTCCCACGAGCACCACCTCAAGGTCGCAAAGCGCCAGGAGAAGCTCTCCGACATGTTCCAGAACCTGATGCTCGGCAAGAAAAAGGGCGAGGCCCCCGAGGACCAGCCGCTGAGCCTCATGTCCAACTGGGTCGACGTGATGCGCAACGAAAAGGAAAAGCTGGCCGAGCAAAAAAACGCCGTCAACGCGCTGCCCCAGACGCTGGTGCAAAAGTACGGCAAGTGCCAAGAGGTCGTCGGCCGCGGCGCCTTTGGCATTGTGCGCGTCGCACACAAGCAGGACCCCAAGGACTCGAAACGCGAGCAGCTGTATGCCGTCAAGGAGTTCAAGCAGCGGCCGGGCGAGTCGGCCAAGCGCTACCAGAAGCGCCTCACATCCGAGTTTTGCATCTCGTCGTCGATGCAGCATCCAAACGTCATCACCACGCTCGACCTGCTCCAGGACGAAAAGGGCACCTACTGCGAAGTCATGGAGTACTGCTCGGGCGGTGACCTGTACACGCTGGTGCTCGCCGCCGGCCAGCTCGAGGTGGCCGAGGCCGACTGCTTCTTCAAGCAGCTGATGCGCGGCGTCGAGTACATGCACGAGATGGGTGTCGCCCACCGCGACCTGAAGCCCGAAAACCTGCTCCTGACCACACATGGCTCCATCAAGATTACCGACTTTGGCAACGGCGAGTGCTTCCGCATGGCCTGGGAAAAGGAGGCCCACATGACGGCTGGTCTGTGTGGTTCCGCCCCTTACATTGCCCCCGAAGAGTACGTCGACAAGGAATTCGATCCCCGTGCCGTCGACGTGTGGGCCTGCGGCATCATTTACATGGCCATGAGGACGGGCCGCCACCTGTGGCGCGTTGCTCAAAAGGGCGAGGACGAGTTCTTTGACCGCTACCTCGAGGACCGCAAAGAGGAAGAGGGGTACCGACCTATCGAGGTTCTACGAAGAGTAAGTGTTGATTTGGCATACCCCTCTTTTTTTTTTTTTCTTCTTCTTCTTCTTTGCACCAACAGCTACTAACTCGAACCCAGCGGCAATGTCGTAACGTCATCTATTCCATTCTCGACCCCATACCCGCCCGGCGTCTAACCGCACACCAAGTGCTTGCTTCCGAGTGGGTGTCCGAGGCCAAGGTCTGCCGCGCAGGCAACGAAGGCTTCTAAACCAACATGACGCAGGCTGGTCCTCCCCATTCTTAGCCCTTTGTCCCGGCGCGTTACAACATCCAATCTGCAGCCATTTTCCCTGGATGTTTGCCTTCATTTCTTAGTCGACTTGGATTTTCTTTTGGACATACCCCCTTTTCCCCCTTGGTGCCATAGCATAGCGAGAACCGTTTGGGCGTCGGCACTTGTTGCACTCTCGTATGGCGTTTTCTTTCGGCGACAAACAAACGGATCACCATAACGATACACATGAGTACTAGACGATGGCGTAAGATGAATCAAGAGCGATAGGCTGCCCTGGCTGCTTGTATGGCTTTATTTGGTTGCTTGGTCGGTGGGGTTAGACCTTCGCTCGCTTGTAATGGGTTGCAGTCGACTGTAAGAGTCGTGATGCGATTATATTATACGAACACCACGCACACTTTGTACATGAGCGTGTCGCATGCCACGAGCCCCTGACATGGAGTTCATGCATACTATACTTTTTTTTCTTTTTCTTGTTTCAACTTTGGCTCGGCTTGTGGACATGAGCTTGATGTTTACTACTGTATATGACTTGATGCGCAAACCACTTTGGGTCTGCGAATGAAACTGGAAAAATATATATCCTATTTTGTAATGTGTCTGGTGACGGTGGTGCTGTGGCTAAAATCCACGAGGGGTGGCTGTCACATGCCTTTTCTCTCTTCTCACTCTTACATCCACACACACACTCATTCTCACTGCGTCTTGGCAACGTCATCAGCCATGATCGCTAAACAATAAGCTGAAGCCATTCACCCCCCAAGGTAAGCGGTGAAACAGCCACACGTGTCTTTACGAACGCCTGTTCACGCCGCGCGCATTGCCCCCTTCCCCCCCAAAATCCGTCCCCCAGCAATTTCCTGGGCGCTACCCCATGTCCTCAATCTCCCACATTGGACAGGCCAACTGGAACCTCGCCTGGCCTCGACTCGTCGTCACCTGGCACCCTCACCTGCGTCTCCAAGCGATGCAACCGAGCAATGCTCACGACCGGCGCTCCGCTCCGTAACTGGACTCTTCTCCTGCTACTATGCAGCCTGCACCCGCTGGCATTCGCCGAGACGGCGGCGAATGAGACGGCGACTGCTGAGGCGAGCGCTACTACTGCATATTCAGGTGCCACGACACACGACACTTTGCACCCTGCCTCGTCGCCTGCGCCCTCGCCCTCGCCCTCGTCTTCGCCATCGCTCTCGCTACTGCCCACGAGACGGTACCCCAACAGCGAGAGCACGTCGCCGTACCGCACCATAAACTACATTACCCATACGCTGCGCCAGCAATGCGCAAAGACGAGCTGGTCCGCGCCCAGCGAGACAGCCACAGTCCACGGCACAGTCGTTGAAGGAGGGGCGGTGGCACGTCTCTACACTCCAGCCCCTGCCATCGCCGAGGGGCCATGGGACGCCGAAACATTATCACAACCAGACGCGACCGGCGCGGCGCCAAGCGCAACAAGCAGCGGGCACCCGGAACTCGAGCTCGAGGTCGACTCGCCCTTTGACAATGCCAATTTTCTCTCGTTTGAGGAGTGGAAGAAGAAGAACCTGGCAGAGGTGGGCCAGTCGCCAGACAATGTGGGCCAGGCCAGACCAGCTGCCTCGAACCAGGCTCCCCGCCGCCGACCCGTCAACGTGAATGCTCTCGACTCGCTTGGCGACGAGGGCGAGATTTCAATCGACTTTAGTGGCTTCGGACGTCCAGAGGATGCGGGTGTGGCCAACGGCTTGCAGCAAGGCAGGCAGAATGCCGAGGCGACAAAGGCTGCCAACGGCGAGGGCAAACCGGCGCCGGGCTCGTGGGCGCTGAGCAAAGATGCGGGCAAGACGTGCAAGGAGCGCTTCAACTATGCCTCGTTCGACTGCGCGGCTACCGTCCTCAAGACCAACAAGCAGGCAAAGAGCTCGTCGTCCATCCTGGTCGAGAACAAGGACAGCTACATGCTGAATATCTGTTCGGAGGACAACAAGTTTCTGATAGTCGAGCTGTGTGACGACATCTTGGTCGACACGGTCGTGCTAGCCAATTATGAGTTCTTCTCCTCCATGTTCCGTCACTTCAGAGTCAGCGTGTCAGATCGCTATCCCGTCAAAATGGAGAAATGGCGGACGCTCGGCACGTTTGAGGCACGGAATTCTCGCGATATTCAGCCTTTTCTCATCACCGAGCCGCAGATTTGGGCGCGGTACCTTCGCATTGAGTTTTTGACGCAGTATGGCAATGAGTACTATTGCCCGCTCAGCGTGCTGCGCGTCCACGGTACGACAATGTTGGAACAGTTTAGGCAGGAAGAGGAAGAGGCAAGGGGTGTGGAAGACGACGAGGATTTAGAGGCCGAGGGCGCCGACGTCAAAAAACCAGCTCTGGATAGCGGGCCGTTGTCTCCAGAGAAAATACCCCTTGAAGCGATAAAAGACGATGGCGCGAAACATGTGGCCTCGGAAACCGTGAATACTGGCGGCCATCAGACGGTCTCTGAAGTCAATACGGAACCAGAAAGCCAGCCATCCGCTGAGCCCCATGGCTCTTCTACACGCGCGAACGAGCCGCCCGCTGGCCAAGCCACAGATGCGCCTCAAAGTCAGCAGGCCTCAGAACAGGGCTCGGCTTCGGTGCCAATCATTACGGATGCCTCGGTTGGCAGAGTTGCAAATGCCGTAGCTACTAGTGACAACAAAACACGCATTGCGCCTCCGCCAACAGAAGTCTCTCCGGCTCACAGCTCGGAAACTGACTCTGTAGTGGCCGCTTCGCCCTCTACACCACCAACCAACAATGCCGCAACATCTGTGGTTGACTCGACGGCATCGGCACCTCCAAGTAACTCGTCGGTTAAACCTCCTAGCAATAGCACCGTTGCGCCCTCGCAGGCCCAAGGACGGGGCTCCGTTACACAGCCAAATGCTCCCACGCCTTCAACCCAGGAATCTTTCTTCAAGTCGATACACAAGCGCCTTCAGTATCTCGAGGCCAACAGCACTCTCTCATTGCAATACATTGAAGAGCAGTCTCGTGCGCTGCGCGATGCATTCATCAAAGTGGAGAAGCGCCAGCTCGCAAAGACGGAGAAGTTTTTGGACCATCTCAACAGCACCGTCCTGATTGAGCTCAAGAGCTTCCGCAACATGTACGACCAGCTGTGGCAGAGCACAGTGATTGAGCTGGAGAGCATGAAGGAGCGGCAACGGTCTGAAATGGGCGAGTTGGGGACTAGGCTGAGTCTGATGGCGGATGAGCTTGTGTGGCAAAAGAGAATGGCTGTCGTACAGTCTACGCTCTTGCTGCTATGTCTTGGCTTGGTGCTCTTAGTCCGGTCAGGCACGCTGGGGTCCAACGCAGATGTGCCAATTGTGCAGCAGCTCGGCAACAGATATACAAGCCTTTTCGAGTCGTCACCGCCACGCAACTCGCCAAACGCATCTGGCATGGCTAGGCGGCGCAACACGTTCCGCAAGATGTGGCGAAGCGACACGTCTGCCAACCTCAGCGACCACCACAGCGACGGCCAAACCGCCATCTCCGACGCCGAAACAGATGGCCTGCGCAGCCCCGTGCAAGCCGCGCGAAGCTCCCGCACCCACGCCGCCCCAGACTCGCCCACCACCATCATCAGACGCGCCATGCCTTCCTTCCAAAGACCCACCAGCACCCCAACCCGCGACCAAGACGCCAACACCATCATCATGCCTCCCACGCCCGTCTCAGCAGACCAAGCCGCCCGCATCCACGTCCTCGAAACCCAATCTGGCCCCGCTACCCCCAACGGAACCCGCGACTGCCGCCCCTCGTGGGAAGAAGTCGATCGCGCCATGGACTTGCTCAAGGCCGAGGATCGTCGCCACAATCAGAATGATTCCCCGAGTCAGAGTCCTGCGAGAGACCGCGGTAGTAGTCATAGTAGTAGTACTAGTACTGGGGGTAACAGTGCGAGTATGAGAAAGAAGAAGAGAAGTCCACTCAGACGCGCGCAGAGTACTTTTGATATTGTGCCTGATACTCATGATGATGATGATGATGACCATGACCATGACCATGATTCTCTATTATCGCTCTCGGAGAAGCATGGTGGTAAGGGGGGTGGGTAAGGGGTTTGGGGGTGTAAGATGGATAGATGGATGGATGTGGATGTGGATGCGTGGTTGGGGTGTTGGCTGGGGTGTTGGGTGTTGGGTGTTTCTTTTTTTTTCCTTTTCGCGACGTGTTTGTGGCTAGATATTGCTTAGTTTGAATTGAAATTTTTTTTTACATACTATCATTGTTGAATAACGTGATAGATAAGCGAGTCGGTCAGACAAGCGAGTTAGTCACCTCACTAACTTTGCGCACTTCTATAAGCGTATAGCTCTACTATATTATATTAGTTTTAGTAGATATTAACGCAATAGATTAATTACTATCTAGACTATCTTTCTTGCATATACGTAAGTTATAGCTAGTCTCTCTACACCTACTACAGCGCGCTAGAGCCTAGCGGCTGACACCTAATCGCTCTCCTCCCTAACGCTCTTTATAAGCAATCTACTAATTAGCCTCGCGCTAAGCGAGTAGATCCTCTCTAGCTCCCTTTATTAGCACTCTTTGCTTCTATATCTGCTTCCTTTTACGCTACCTACGCTTTATTGCTACCTTATTAGCTCTCTTAAGGCTAGTAATCTAATCGCGTATTAGCTTAGCTAAGAGTATTATAACTTTAGCCCCCTTCTTAAGCTAGTTAATTGCTATAATAATTAATGCTAGCAAAGAGCTCTTATGCTACTAAACCTAATTACGTATTAACGTTAATTAAGCTTCAAACTTGCGTGCGTTACTTAGGGTACAAGCCTGCTAGAGAGCCTCTATAACAGCAGCTACTAGAGTAGTAGGCGTACGCAGCTTTATGTCTAGCTTTAATAGAATAGCGTCTAGCTAGAGAGGAATAAGGCCTACGCCTTGAAAGGCTAAGCGGATATTAGCTAGCGTAAAGGATTAATTAAACGCTATCTTAAACGCTAGTAGAAACTTAAGCTTAGTAATGTAGTTAATGTAGTTACGTATTAGGCTCTCTACCTTATAGCTATACGCGCGCTTTAATAGCAAGAAGTAGCTAACGTTAAGAGGTTAAAGTAGGTGAGAGAAATGTGGCAGTATATAGAGTGTGTAGATATTATTCTCTTTGCAAAGCTCTTAAAACTTAAGAGACTAGTGTAACGGGCTGAACGCCCTTCGCCTCCCATACTCGTCTACGACCTCGTTTACTCCACCTGCCCGGCCCGATTGTTACCCTAGCAACCAGCATTGTATATAGATAGCTACGTAGCCGAGAGCTTAGCTCTCTATCGAATACAATCTTGTTACCTTGGCCTGTCCGATCGTGCTCCCAAGCTTAAGACTACCCTCCGGGGTCGAGCCCCTTACAACTAGTAGCTTTTATAGCTATTAAGAATAAGTAGACAACGTGTGCTAATAACGCGAGTCTTTATGTAAGCATTAAAGTGCTTTAGCTAGGCAACACCTAGCTTATTATTTGTCTAGCTATTGTTACTAACTACAATCGCCTAGTCGCGTAGGATCTCTGCTTCCTCGTACTAGGCGGATAGATAATATTTGCTAGCGAAGATAAAGAATAGTAGAACTGCCTAGCTAGCTGCGTTAATCGCTGTAATTAGCGTCACCTACCCACAATTGCCTAGCTTAACTACCTTTAGCTAGCCTCTCCTCTTTAATACTATTACGACTAGCTAAGTTATAATTTTGCCTATTATAAAGCTAGCTTTATTAAAGTTATAGATGTCTTTATTATAGATGCTATACTTAGCCTTTATCTACT